AGACTTTTTTTTAGTTCACCATATTCTTGACAAAAAAGATCTTTTGATATTTCCTCTCAAAATTAATAATACACGCTGAAAAAGAATTTATAGTAAAATATACCTTGACATTTAGTAAAATAATGATTTTTCACAAAAAAATATGATTTTTAAGAGAATGTAAGGGTGAATTTTATTATAAATTCTTTTTCGTGCATTTTAACTCTTCGCCACTGATGTAGAAATAACCCTGAAGACCTCGCTGGATTTTTATTTCTATAATCCAGGGATCTGTGTCGCCTCCAGAAGTGCATGGCACTTGGCAGAGGCCCAGGATAAATAAATATTCGGCAAATGCGGTTTAATAGACTATATTTCGGGGAATAGTTGCATCTCTCAGTGGTTTGAGTTTCTGGAAGGGCAACAGTTCGTTCAGAAACACGAATCATCGTTTAGAATCAAGACTGCAGTTACACGTGTCTTGCGTGACACATCCTTTTAATTGAACAAACCAACGGAGAATCGTTGATTTTGTAGTTTTTTGCGGTCAACTCAATGAATATGATGATTCACAGACCATTAAATTCATGAGGCCGTTAAAATTGGTTTCAAATTTCTTCAGAAATACTCCAAATTCAAGTTTCATTATCATCCACAGTGCATGGGATTATTGATTGTATTGGATTTAGTAATATTTGCAGTTATAATAATTTAATAATATTTAAAGTTCTTACATTTAGTATAAAATTTGAATTAAGATGAGTCTTTAATGGTTAAAGAAAGGTAGTAAAAGTTACCACAAGTACACGGAGAGAAAAATACCGGAAGAATTACGGAATTTTCACGTATTCGTGGCGTGATATTGCTTTTCGGGAAAAAGTACTGGTAAAATTGTCCTGAAAGTTTCGTAAAAATTCCTGCTCCCTACGAAAAGTTTTACGGAACTTTCAGTATTTTTCTCCGAAAACCACGGTCACCCCACGTATGCGTGAAAGTTCCGTAATTTTTCCGGTATTTTTCTTTCTGTGTAGGATAACCTTTGCGTTTTTTTTAAATGTACTAGAATTATTTCTGCTAATGAATTATTAGCAATACGTTTTCGAAAGGCCGTTTGCAATCATCTTGAAATTTCGGTGAAATTTCAAGATGATTATAATAATTTATATATATTTGGAACATAATAGATGAAGAAAATCAGAATAGATAAAAATGAAAAATTCGAAATTAGGAAAAATTATCTGAAAAATTATATCAA